GTTTTTAACACTGAGACGTTAGCTGGCTTATGACAACACTTAGAGATATAAGCTACAGTCTCCTGTTGTATGCCTCAATTAATAAATCTGGACCTTGATCTCTCCTTCTAAAATAGGCTGTGAGTCCTCATCTTTTCTGGAGCAAACACTGTGAGGCACGACAGTGATGGGTGTTATCAGCAGTAGTTCTAGGAGAGGTGCCTGTACAGTGTTCATGCTTTTGTCATTTTCGGAGGAGAATGGAACATCCGCATCCTGTTTTCCCTAGAACTGTGCCCTGTGACCTCTCTATTCAAGACCTTGGCTGGTCTAACCCAGGAGCTTTGATTTCTTTGTAAAATGAAAAATATAATATTAACCTTCTTAAAATAATTTATGGATTTCTTTTCAAAAATAGGTGAAAGTCAACTCAATATTTATAATTTCTGAGCTCACAAGCATTTGGGAACTATTTAGTTCCTTTTATGTATGAAGATTGAGTTTAAATTACCAGCAGCAGTGCTAATAATGCAGTGACTATTATTGCTGTGTATGGGTCTAGAATACCTGAGCTATACATGTTAGAGTCATTCTTTTTTCCAAGGTCCCAAGAGAAAATAGATTCATTGAACAATACCTGAAAAGGAGCAATTTGATGATTTCTCCCTGTGTCTCAGTCTACTCTTTTGGAAAGTATACAACAAGGTTGTTGGAAGTACTTCATAAATTAATACATGAAAGGCATCAATAGCTACATTTTTTTCTGTTGCCTCCTTGTTCTTTGAAGGGATAACGGTGCCAAGGACATGGCCTCCAAAGCTGGCTTTTCTGTATTCAAATTGTGTTCCCACTACTAACCAGATAGATAACCATGGATAAATTATTGAGCCTCTCTGTGCTTCTAAAAAAATACTCAGTACAGTATTGTGTGGAATACATGAGTTAATACAAATATTTGGAATAATGCCTGGCACATTATTAATACTCAAGAATTATTAGCTGCTGATATTCATATCATTATTATTACTAATTATTTATTTGTTATGGCTTTGGACCCCAAATTCTAATGCAGTATTCTAAAGAGCAAAACTAAACCACACCGAATTCTCATTTTTCTCCATGCCAGGAAAACCTAATAAACTACCATCCAAACTAGCGAAGGTCTTTGCCTTTCTCCCCCTACATCCAACCATGACTTCTTGGCTCTTATAATTCTAATGTCAATCTTCTAGGGGCAGAAGGAGCACATTGAGAAAGATACCCCAAAAGAACATTTGCCCCCATGCCTAGGAAGAACCTGTCCTAGGTCATTTGTCACTAGGGTATTAGCCCCAAAGCAGGCACACATGATAAAGAGTCCAAAGTGAGCTTTTGAAGGAGAAAAGTTGTTGTCAGTCCACTCATCCATGGCTCATTGGCCACTTTATTTCACAACCTAACAAAAGAGACATTGCAAAAAAGATTTCCACAGACCATTCTTATTTGTCCAGGCTCTGAGAGTAACAAGGACTCTGAGAGGCCCCACTTCAGTTCTTGCCAATTTTAACACAACTTACAAAATGTACTTGGAGTTGAAATGAACTTCCTAACCCTTGTGGAAGACCATGCCAAATCTTCTGGAGATCAAAGGGTATATTCAGACATTTCTCTGCAACCCATGGACCAAACAATAACTTGCCTGAATTCATTTTAAGAAAACCACTTTATCTAACTCATTAAAAGCTGAAAAAAAATGAATATCAATTGACCAAATGACCAAGGAATAGAGGAGACCTGGCATACCAGTATTTTCCAGCAGGGCTAACACTATATGCTGCTACGAAATGCAGAACTGGGGCAGACTTAGGGCCAGGTGGAGAACATGTGGGAAGCTGGCACCAGCCTTCTGCTGCCTTCAGGGACCTTGTGTTTCCAGAGCTTCCAAGTTTTCAATGAAGGCCAAAATCTGGAATTTTATGTGGATTGTGTTGACATTTGCATTTTGGCAAATACTTAAAATTAAAGCAAAACCAAAACAAACTATGCAGGCCAAAGGCATCCCATCTGATGTCTGTGTGCCTCCAGGCTTGTGATCTCTGCTGTAGATCCTTCACATTGGCCAGCTAGATGTCCATACTTTTAGCAGTTGGAACATTGGCCCCAAGCCCCGCCATATATATTAGTTTGTAATTTTGCTAAGATATACATCTTCATCCCCAATGCTCCAAGGATGTGATTTACTTAGTTATTGTATGTGCTTTGTTCCCTCTCCAGTTCTTACATTTTACCATGGCTTGTAATTTCTTTAATCAAAGTTGAGTACACAGAATCTCTCATGAAACAAGAAAACAAACAACAATAAAAAATTCTTTTCATAAAAAATTAAAATGGAGCACAGGAGTGGACGGGGGAAGGGAGTTAGTTACCCTGTGATTGTTGGAAATAGAAAGGTAGAGTGGAAAGAGCTACTGAATGAATAACTGGTAACTAGAGGTTTTCAAGGTTGATATAGCAGTCAGTGAGGAGAATAGGAGTTTTTGTGGAAACAATCAGCATTTTCCAGATCATGGTAGCAAGAATTAGGGAAGAAGTATATGAAAACAGCTCTTAAAATTTCAGTTATACTTTACTTCATTTAAAGAGAAAATTTATGTGCTACAGAGTAGTTTTTAAATTATTGATTTTTAACTTAAAATATTAATCAAATACTTTTGAGAGAGAAGGTTTCATCCTTATGGATGTCAAGAAACTGTGTGATGCTTTATAAGTTGTCCTAAATTTCCTTGTAGTGTTTTAGAACTAGATTGCTAAGGGCAGTAACCGTCTGTTCTTTTATTTTTGCTGTTTTCTTTCATATTTCTAGTACAATATTTCTACTCATTGGAGGTTCTCAACAAATTGAATGTTTTGAATTATTTAAATGTGTCTTCCAGCTTTAGACATTTATGGGTCAAATATATATTTCTGTTTAACAACTCTAGAAATCATGTGTGTGCCTTCTGAAGCAAGGGGTAGCATGCCTTAGAGGAGTATATAAAAATATATACTCTGCCTTTAAGGCTCAAACAATGCAGTCCTTAATTTAAAATCCTTCTCCTTGCATATCTTTATCTTCTTAAAATATTTAGTTGGGAATCTTATGACAGGAGGTTGTTGTTTGTTTGTTTTTTTCCCCCTAAGGTTTTAGTATTTCCTGGGCTAGAAGTGATATGGAATGAAAACAGATTTGAATTCTTTGAATCCAAATCAAAGGTTTTGACTGAAAAAGCCAGCTGCACGTTTAAATCGAAGTATTGGAAGCATCATATTGTATTTGGTTCTAGCTGTCAGGTTGGTTTAAAGATCTTCCAAGGGAGGCTAAATGGAGCATGGTGGATCTTTCAAGCCTAAGGCCGGATTGCTCTAACAGCAAAGAGATTTCTCTCATCTCCAAATCGCCTGCACCATTTCTCCTTTCCCCTGTGGCCTGACTATTGTGTTATCTTCCAACATCTTGGTATATGTTAAGCCAAGAGAGAAGTTCTAGGGCTTTGAAGTGTCCAAATCCCTTTGCTTGTCTGTAAGGTTTCTCTTCCAGCAACAAGACATTTGAAAACAGAGGAACCAGTAGCCCTGATAGCACAGGAAGAATTTGATTGGTGGAGAGTGGAATTTTGATCCTAATTGACATAGGGCCCTCTGCCTTGTGAGTCCCTTCTTTTATGAAGCCTTTCTTTGGAAGCATTATGCTTCTCAAGTGGGAAATTTGAAAAGAGAGGGATATGGATAAGCTGATTATTTCCTAAACTTTTCAGAAATCACTATAACTAATGTAGGAAGTGAAAGGTGAGACCTGCATGAATAGTTACTTGGAGGGAGTGTTTATCTTGGGATTGTTCAACAAGAGGCAATCTGTACAGAAATTATTATTTTAATACAAAAATGGGGAAAATTTCCTAAGCAATGTCAATGATTTTCTACATTGCTCAGTGTCCCCAATTTCCCTTGATTATTTTTGGGATACCTATTTATATATTATCAACAACATTAAACATTGAAGTGTCTTTCTTTCTTTTTTTTTTTTTTTCTCCATGAGGAAACACTTTTATTATCCTATTAGGAACTGGTTACCTAGTTATTCTTTTTTTTTTTTTTAGTTCTGGGGATTAGAACCCAGGGCCATACATATATGCCAGGCAAGTGCTCTACACTGAACTACATCCCCAGCCCCTAACTAGTTATTCATTCTTTCAACAAGTATTTTTAAGATACCCATTTTGTACAAGGCATGATAATATATATGCCAAAGAGAGTAGAGGAAAATAAATACACACACAAATGTTATTTTTAAAATGTACATATATTTTTCAAGAATGTACTTTCCTGAGATTATTTTACAAGTTACTATGATTTACTGACAAAGAGCTTTGTTCTTTGTGAAATAGCAGAAATATCACTTGCATTGGTCCACTGTACCCTGTATTTTGAACTCAACTGTGCTGTTTATAGCTACATCACAAATTTCTTTTACACAAACCTATTTTGTTTTTGTTGAATTTTACTTTCTGCCTCACATACTCCTTTTCTTGTAAGAAGTTGATGAAAGTGTATTTGATGTTTATATCTATAAAAAAGTGGTAATATCCAAACCTAGACAAAATGTGTTCTTTTGACTTTTTATCATTATTTGATTTCACAACTTTCTTCTATCTTTAAAGATTGCAGAATTTTCCTTCCTTCTAATCTTCAAATAAGAATTTATAAATTTATAAAATTAGCAACTTAAATTGTTGTAATTTCAGTCTTTTAAAGTAATTTAATAATATCTTTTCAAATAATTGAACTTTCTCTACAATATAATATAAATATGTTAATCCTGTTAAATTAGAAAAGTTGAATTTCAATTACTGTGAATATTGGCTTTTTCTTTGAAGTAAATTCAGGATCCCTGTTACTTGTGTTCTAAGATTTAAATAATTATATTTTTTATTTTGAGGAACTAAATACTACCTTTAAAATATCTCATAAAAATTGTTTTCTTTTCCATATTCTTTTGTTGTTAGGTGATTTGAGCTCCTGGGATCTGCTCATTTGTCTGCCTTCAAGGAAAGCTGATGGAAAACCCTGTGTGTCCAAGGAGGACATGTGCAAGTTAAGTTCACATCAAAGGGTAAATACTCTTAAAATGTGCATGTACTTTCTTGAACACTGCATTTTAGCTACACAATGTTTAAAAGAAAAGTCTTGAAAATTAGAACCATTCTATATTTAGAGAAAGTTCCAATGAGCTGTGACTTACACAGTTCACCATGAAATGACAACAGTTTTTTGTTTAAAGGGATCTTCCCCAGCATCAGCTACTATCGATACTGTTATTGAACTTGGTAGGACTCCAGCTGTATCTAGAAGTCTGTAGCCTAGAGCGTGTAGCTGACCCTGGCCACATATTCATCGAAAGATGTAAAGTTTTCATTTTCTAAAACACTGGTCAGACTTTTTCAAATTCGTATTAATATCTGAAATTACGATAAAATTCATACAATTTGTTATTAACTTTTAGAATTGACATTCACGGTTTACTGCCTATATTGTGTGAACTTTTGTAAATGCTTTTAGAAAGTTAACTAAAAATTAGCCAAGGTCTATTTGCTGGTCACTATGCTAGAAAAATTGATGTGTTGTTGTTACTTATAACTTCTCTGTGAGAAAAGTGTCCAAAGCAAGTTATTTTCCATTTCCTAAGTGGAACTGTAGCATCCCACCCTGAGTACCTGATATTTCTGCAATGACAGTTTGGGTTACTCTTGCCTTCTTTTAACTCTGTACTCCCTTGGCCTTCTAGCTGAGCTTTCTCTTTGTAAATCTTTGGCCATTCCTTCTCCTCTCTTCATGGCTATCTTATCCCTTGCCACTCTTTAAATGCCCAGGTTCCTTAAAAGCACTCTCCAAATTTCAACCACCATTTGTAGTAGATGCCTTCTTAAGTTTTCATCTAAAATTCAGAGCACCTCCCAGCCTTCAGGCTTGCCTACGCACAGGCTTACTGAGCACTGCCACTTGGACATCCAATATACACTTCAAACTCAGCGTGGTAAAATATGGATTCATTGTTTTCCCCAATAAATTTGCTTCTGCTGTTGCATACAGAAACTCTGGACTGCTTCTCACAGCTTCTGTTCTGTTGGTTACAAGCATGATCAATCACTCCATCATCTCCTAAGATCCAAATATGGTCTTCAACCCCGCAAGCCCTTCCTTTCTTTTGTCATCTATATCCTACCAAGAGCCAACTGAGCAATGTGACCCCTAACATTATCTTCATATTGTTTCTACTCTCTACATTTACACTTATGGATCTTTTTCTGGTCAGAAATCAGCACTTTTACCTGGATAATACTAAATATTCATCACTGTTTTTTTTTTTTTCCAAAGCAATATTTTGCCCCTGAAATCAATCCTGACCTCTAATGTCAGATGAAAACTACAAAAAGATGAATTGGGCTTGTGATTCTTGTGTTTAAAATCTTGAATAACTTCCCATTAACTCAAGAGTAACATCTAAAATATTTATGGTGCCTTAGCCTTCCAGCAGGAAATATATGCTACATTTATAAGAGTAAAACTGAGGAGAAACTGAGAACTAGACAGAGACGTTGGCAGTGTCAAAGAAACAAAAGAGATTGTGAGGCATCTAAAGTTCAGCAATATCCTAAGGTTTCCACCACCCCTGGTCTTAAGACAAGTACGGAGAAAGAATGTGTCGTTGTTACTTATATGGAGAAAGAATGGTGTAGCCAGAACTTAGTGAGAAAGTGTTCTCACTAGGAAGAAGCTTTAAAGAAATGTAACCTTTGCCAAATTACAGGCCTGAAGAAAGGGAGCCTGAGAGATAAGAACCTAAAACTCTCTCCGCCTAGGCACCAATCTTCTACCACTGCCTTCCATTGGTTCTTGTCAACTTAGTAAGAAAGAGTCTATGGTGCCACCCATAAAAGTCAGCCTGCTGATAACAGCAAGGTGGGAAGATCTGGAAAGGAAAGCTTCTCTGTGAATGGACCTGCCAAATAGTTCTCTTATTTTTTTTCTAGTTCAGATGTTATGCTACAAGCAATATTACATTGATTATAGATCCTTAAACATCTATGCTGTTTTCTGTAATATACCTTTATTTTTAGTATTTTGTTTGCCTGGAATGTCTTTTCTCTTCAATTTTTACCTCAGTGATTTTAAACCAGGAGATATTTTTGTCTTCCTGGAAATATGGGCAATATCTAGAGACATTTTGGGGTCTGTCACAACCTGTGTGTGAGTGGGGGTATACTCCTAGTATCCAAGGATGCTATTAAATATTGTAATGATGCCCACAACAAAGAATCATGCAGCCAATATGTCAATAGTACCAAGGCTGAGAGACCACCATGTACTGTCTTTGCTAAGTTAGCCACTTAAGTCTATTAGACTCAGTACCACCACCACTTTCTAAGGATTATCACAGTTCCTCAGGTTTATCTCTAGTGTTTTTTAAAAAGCATCATATTGTTTATTCTTTTTCTTTCACCTGCAAATGAAAGCCAGGTTTCACCAGCAAATGAGGACAAATGAGTTCACACTGGCATTAGTATTGATATTTTGTTGGACCATGCATACCACCCCCCAGCAACTTTCCCATCAATTTCCCCAAGAGGGATCTCCCATATTCTTAGAAGTAGTGTTTGCATGCCCTGTTCTTGCCTCCTGTTTCATCCCACCATAGGAAAGGCCAGTGAGGAACATTCTATACTAATGTGGATTCTGCTGCTGCTTCTGTGACAGATGTCTTCATCACCCAGGTGCCTACATAGCTGCATAGTTCTCAATATGCTCAAAGTCCTTGCATTTCATCAGTTTCATCTGAACTGGAATTAGATGTAGAACAATGAGAATGTAGCTTTCAGTATCTTTTCCTAAAATTAGAAGACATTAGACACTGGGCTGTCTCTGAGACATTTGCTAGCTTTAAATTTACATGAGAGTCACAGGACATCAGTGGAATATGTGATGAGGACAGAATAGAGCAGAACATCCAGTGATGGCAATGGAGAAATTGTATTAATCAGTGTTATCTGTAGCAATAGAGCCAATAGAATGTGCATGTAATTTTGCATTATTAGATAGGCTGACACAGTCAGAGGCTGGATATTCCCACAATGGTTTTCTGCAAGCTGGAGAGTTGGGGAAACCAGTAGCTGCTCAATTCAAGAAACTGGATGCCTAGGAACATCAGGGACCAATGGTGTACCTCAAGTCCAAGGCTGAAGACCTGGAATGTCCCTGGAGAGTCAGTGGTATGAGTCCTTGTCCAAAAACTGAAGAAACTGGAATCTGATGTCCCTGATGATGGTAGCAGCAAAAACTGTACCCACTCAAGATGAATCAAGCTTCTGCCCTTGGTCGAGTTCCCTTGAGCTTCCTCCTTCTGCTTTTTGTTTCATCTGGGTTCCTGCCTTATTGGATGGTGCCACACTCATTCAGAGTAGGTTTCCGCACTGTTTACTTACCCACATGCCATTTATTTCTGGAAACAGCTTCACAGACAAGCCCAGGAGTGTGCTTTACCAATTTTGTAGGCATTCTCAATCCATGCAAGTGGACAACCAAGATTAACCATCATAGAAGATGATAATAGGGATATAGGACAAATAAATTAAGAAGGAAATTACAAAGCATAGTGTCAGTAATGATGAGATTCTGTTTCTAATTTTAAGTTTTGAAATAGTTCTATCTTTATAGAAAAATTACAACAATAATACAAAGTTTCTCACATATCCTTCACTGAACTTTAAGGTTAACATCTTACATAAACATGGTACCTTTATCAAAACTAAGAAATTATCATTAAAACAAAATATTCAGCAAATTGTAAACAATATGCAAACTTTCTCATTTTTTAAAACTTATATGTCCTTTTTCTGTTCTAGGAGTCAATCTAACAGCCCTTATTATATATAGTTGTGATCTTTCTATAGTCTCCTCCAATCTCTGACCATTCCTCAATCATTTTTTTCCTTCATGACCTTGACATTTTTCAAGTACCAGTCAAGTATTTTGTATAATGTTCCTCTATATGGACTCACCTGATGTTTTCTTTTTTTTCTTTCTTGCTTTTTTTCTTTCGATGCTGGGGATTGAATGTAGGGCCTTGTGCATACTAGGTGAGCACTTTACCACTGAGCTATGCCCCCAGATTTTATCTGGAGTTTTATAATAATATTACAGATTTTTGAAAGGAATGTCACAGAAATTATATGCCTTTCTCAGTTCATAATATCAGAAGGCATGTGATGTCTGTTTGGCTTTTTTTTTTTTTTAGTAGTGATGTTAACCTTCATCTGTTGGGGAAGATGGCATCTATGGGTTTTTCCACAGTGGAATTACTGTTTTTCCCCTTTGTGATTAATATATATCATAGGGAATGATACCTTGAGACTGTGTTAATATCTTCTCTTTAAACTTTGGCCTAATAATTTTAATATCTAGAAATAGATCTTTCCCACAATAATTATTATTCTATTCATCTAATGTCAATTTCCTATTTCTCTCATTCCATTTACAATAATTTACTGGAAATCTTCTATAAGAAAGTTCTTTCTATCAATGTGGTTATGTCTGGATTACTTTTATTTAAAAAAATAGAAAAAGTCTCATATGAGAAACTTCTTGTCTTGAGGCTTACTTTTACACTAAATTTATACTGCCATTTATCAAGATTCAGGCCACAAAATCCCTGAGAGGCTTTCCTTGTTGAATGTCTCAGTAACATTATTCTTGGCTTTATCAAATCATTCATTTATTTTTTATCCATTCATTGATTTATTCATCTATCCCTTTGTTCGTTCTAATTATTTATTAAACATCTGTATTAAAAACTGTTTTAGGCACTGAGAATATAGCTGTTAACAAACAACATAGACAAAAAAAACTTCCCCACTCTTAGGGAGCTTAGTTACTTATATGGAGAAAAAGGGAAAAGAGATCACTAGATAAAAATATGGATTCTTTAGATGACAAAAATGTACTTTTATAGTACTTAGTACTAAAAAAGAAAAATAAACTAAGGTGAGAAAACACTGGGAGGTTGAGTTTTAGATGAGTGGAGGAGATTCCACCAAGAAAGAAACATTTGAGTATGGC